AAGTGTGGGCTTTTATGGTACACTGTAAAAGTAAGAAAATAAATAGGTTTAGATTGAAAGGAAGTTACTTTATGGTGATTTCTTTTTGTTCAAATTCAAACTGCCAAAAATCCTAACTACGTGTCCACGTCTATGAATAATTGGCAATATGTTGATCATTACGTGATATTCTTGTTGCTTGTCGAGAGATAGGTAGCCTTTCCTGAGCAGGTCAAGCAAAAAGCAAATCTTTGGGACTATAACATTCAACTTTAGAATGTCACTATGTTTAAAAAAACTTGGGCTCATTCTTTGCACGCAATTAATATGTGGGTCTTTTAAAAATTACTTCTCCCAACATTAAAAAGAGTGCAGTCACGGCTTCGATGATGCCTGTTACTCAATTGCGTGACAGATCAGACAAGTGATCGAACCGCGTTGAACGGTCCTCGATTGTTGCAATGTATAAGGTGTTTTTACGTCTACCAGTGCAACACCGAAAAGTGTTCTGATAGGAATCGTCACCAAAATGAAGCTGACTTACTTAGCAAAGGTCGCTTGTGAAAAGGAGGAAGCAGAATCTAGCACGAAACAAACTAACATGTCATGACGAGCCAAACACGTAAAGACGAGGGCAAGAGGAGAGTCACAGCAGGTTTTGTAAACGTTTCTCGACACATTTCTGTTAAGTGTACCTCTACATTTTGTTCTGATCATATTTAACTTATTCCACTGATTTTGCTTCGCTTAATAATTTAGAGGAGCTTCACATTGGAAACTTTTAACTGCAACCATGTGAAGTGTTAATTACTTCAAAATGGCGGATATTGAAAATTGACTTACTTCAGGAATGTCTTGTTGTACAGATACAAAAGATACCAGGTAAATAAAACGGTAGAAAGTTGAAGCATTCAGTCTTCGGACTGCGAGGTGTTTCTTTTTAATAAACGATTTATCCATCCAAAAACGGGCAACAAAATCAAGTGAAGCGAATCGTGACGGCGCTGATGCCGAGTCTCCTTTTCCATTGTTTTTCTCTTTTTCTGCCTCATTTAAAAACTCTAGCCCAAGGGAAAAGGTCAGAAAATTTTCTTCGTTTTGGGACAAGTGGGCCGAGTCTCTGTTTGAAGCCATTATTGTCGCGAAATATGTTATTTTTCCCCGCGCTAACGGTGGCCATTCGCGCGAAAAAAGAAATTCTGGCGCAGCGACTTGTTCACGCTATCAGCGTGCACTATCGGGATTTTTAGCACGCTTACGTATACTGAATTTGATTGCGCGGCTCTGCTAGCTATGTTCTAATGCAGTATAGGTCATTTTGTCGGGATCAGTAATGAGTATGTTTTAAAATACTGTTTTTGGAGACAAGGTCATAACGATACATAAATTCGAAATAGTCATATCTATCATCTTCATCTATAGAGTCATTTAATTGTTGTAGACCGACTTTATCACAAAGAAAAATATTACTTGTGACTCGATCAA